CATTATTAGTTTATAACATTTTTAGTATTTGCCGTACGTGATTACCTTTAAAAATTTTCGTCAGCCCAGCTTAGTTTTAATCCATTTGTAGAAATATTTCAACGGGAAAGACAATAATCGGTTCGATTAATTTATCACACAACGCATCCGTAATCCCACCGTTCAATTAAAAACCCAATAGTTGTTATATGCGTACGTGCACACATCGTATAGGAGAATTTATTTAATACAGAATTCATGATTTTCCCCTTTTATGCGTGAAACTATCATTTTAGCGTGTGGAATAAATGTGAACCATAGTAATATAAGATATCCTGAGATAGGAGAAAAGGAAACTACACACATGTCTGTGGAAAAACGGGTTGAGATTGGTTCCATTGAATTTGTGAATCGAAACGATGAATGAATTTTTTTTCTTCGAATCTCGGCATCGATTCTTGCAGCACGGCGTCCCAGCTCCTCTTCGCCGGAAGTTTCCTTTTCACATTATAATGAACCGCTTAACAATTCCGATTTTATTAAGAGTCCTCCTCGGTCGGAAGGGTAGCAAGGAGGGAGGGAAGACGAGCCCGTTTTCGGTAGACCGGAACGAAGAAAGGGGGACAGGGGCAAGCGAAACGGAAGGAAGGCGTGGCACGGGCTGTGACAGCCAGAAAAGCGAGAATTGGTAATTCGGAAAATTTTAAAAAGATTTTATTGCTTCTTTATTGAATAAAAATTTATACATATATAATATTATAAAATTAGAACGTCCTTTAATAAATACCATCAAGTAACCGTTCACAGTTTTCTGTTGCCGTCAATAATTAAATCCAGCAAAAATATCTATTTTCCGGGGTTTTTATGTAGTTGTATCACTTGCAGTCTATCTTTATTGTGGAAGACGAATATTGAAATCCGCACGGGGCAATCTTTTTGAATGGAAACACGAAAAACGCGGGCCGAGTAAAATCCTGCGTACGAAATGGTTTACGGTTAAGCCCTCATACATACATTTCATAACAATTTGTTACACCAACGGCTGTCCGGTATTTTCGTTAAAATCGTGTTTCGTTCCGTGAGATTCCCGTTCGCTTTTCTTCCTCCGTCTAACAAAATAGATAACGATAACGCAAGAATCAGGAAAACTCAAATTGCCTGACAAGCAGTATTTTTTAATTCTGGAAATGTGGAGATTGCTGGCTATTGTGTTGGCTAACTCATTAATTAATTAGAACAGAAGTCTTGAAATTAACTTTAGTTCTTTAAGCAAGATTTAATTTCATAAAAATGACGAAGAAACAACGGAAAAGTTGAGAGTGGAAAGCAGAATCGCATTAAATACATCGACCGTTACATAATCACGGTTAAGCAGCGTTAACTTAATGAAAGTCGATTTTCGAGTTTAATTAAAGAACCAGGGCGGACGAAGGAAAAAAAGTGTTTAGTGGCTGAATTTAATTAAAGAGTAACAAACGCGAGAGCCACGTGAAACGGATAGAACAAACAAATAAAACAAGAAACGAGAATGTGCAAAAAAAAAAGGCATGTTCGACTATAAATCAGTGTCTCTTGTCAATTCGCGATGACAAACCGGAGATTAATAAATTGTAGCTTCGAGGATGCGATTGGAAACGAAGAAATGAAGGAAAGCGTTTAGCAACAAATCCTAAAAAATGTCAGATTTATGGAAGCCCCAGTATTTGTTTTTCGTAGAGATTTGTGTACAAATATTTGAGGGAAATGAACGTTTGCAAACGTTTGAAAGTTTGAATGTAAACTATATTCTTGTTTTATCATTTTTTAAGTGACAGATAGAAAGACAGAAATAGTGAAATATTCTAGCAGAGTTTTATTCATAAATATTTTTAAAAGAAAGTGCAATTAAAATGTTTCTTTTTATTTCCAAAAACAAGGAAAGTACAATTGGACTTATACAGTATTTGTAATAATGTTTTACGTAGCAGCATATTGAATTCAACACGTAGAATGGTCTATACACAACTTCTCGGCTGTTAGATTAAGCTACGTACTTGTAGAAGCGAGTCACATTACGTATTTACTTGTTGATACTGTACTCGTGTGCCTTGTCTCACCGTAACTTTCTTAACAGTATTTAAACAAAATATGCTCGAGACGTACAGTTGTTTATTACTTCGTACCTCGTTAATTAAAAGTTTCTTTGGAAACTTTCTGAGACATTTATTTAAAAGCAATTAGAAAAACTATTTGATACAAGAATACAATCTTATGACAAAATTCATTTTGCGCAATAAAATTTCGTCTGAACATTCCAAATTTAAATAATCATACTAAAGTAAATCGCGTACATTTATTTTGCCTTCATTTTCATTTGCTTTGTGAGATTACAATCAGAAGCAATTTGGAAAAGAAAAACGTTCAATTCAATTCAGATTTATCCAAAAACACTTCCCTGTCCCATTTCGAATTTGCCTAAAACGGAGTACAAAGCGATTCACTTCGAGTTGAGTTCACTGCGTCAGTTTGTAAGCTTATCGAGCGACAAAGTAAGTACCGGGTTCGATATCGACGGTGGGAGGCCAGTCTCGATTAGTCGATCACCGGTTGGGAACGGGCAGTGTCTCGAAAAACGCCGCACCGAGCCAATAAATTGTCAGCCGGTAATCTCCTCCGGAAGTTTCCCGATATTTCACAGCGGTAACAGGTAAATCGGCCCGGCCCATGAAATTGCAAGATCCCGGGGCCGTTGTCGAGTGCCACGATCGATTAGGTACCCTTCCGTGAACTCTGTCACGGATTACGAGGTCCGGCCTCGCGAAAGAAGCTCGAATACCGAGTAAAGAGGGACGATTAGGCCGCGTCAAGACGGATTATGTTACTAAAGAGCTTCAAGCCTCGTTGTTCTCGCCTATGGAAATTAGAAACGATAGCCATAGGCGTTTGAGCGCTAAAACCATCCGCTTGATGAATATATGAAAACGTTGTTCCTGAAACATTAACACTATTCCTACCGGTGTCAAAAGACACCTGAAATTTTTGCTTAAAATTATTATTATTAGTTTAATACTTTTTCCTCAATATGTAATACGTCTTAATATGAAAGTTTCATTTAACGTTGATAATTATTATTGTGCCAGTTTAAAACACAAGAAATAAGTGAAACTAATTATAATCTGGAAGAGCGTATAATATCTGTGACAGTTCTTTCTACTAATTATTTACTTTATCATCACACGTTAAGCACAATTTTGCTTTCCATTAGGAGACAGAAAACTCGTCACGTAATTTATAATCGCCTACCTGGCATAATTTAATCAACGCCGGAAATCCTTTGACTGAAACTTGCAACGACACCATTATCATCACTTTTTCCGGTACTAACTACGCTACCGTATATTATCGCACGTGATAATGATAAAGCCGAAGCGACGGGCTAGACGAAACTGTACTCTACGCCCGTAATAAGATTCATTAAATAGAAAAAAATTACAAAGCGTACTACAGGTGCGCTACAGGAACGTTAATGTCGCCGAGGGACACAGGTTACTCGAATTTCAATTTCGTATCGAATTGCTTCATGCTTGATTTTGTAGCTGACTCATTCCATCGAATGTCATCTCGTACTGATCAATCTAAATTGCAACTACTGTGCACGCGTAGGGTGTAATGTTTGTAATCAGTTTGAAATTCCTTGAATTCACATCGTAATGATTGTAATTCCTGCATCTAACAGAGATGAGATAACGAAGTACATTTCTTTAATTGCTAGCAGAATATCAAACGTTATTTGTGTGTTTAGTCTTCGCAAAAACATTAGAGTTTGAGTTAAGTGAGTTGAATGTAAAATACGAAATACGAAACGATCGATTCTGCCGAAAACTTCGTCGATTCGCGGACCAGCAAATTGCCGGGAAAGGGTGGAACGAGACCGGAAGTGACACGATCGTTGTCGGTGCCATTGTGCTGCCTTTGGCGGACGCAGTCAAACGTCGGAGCCAAGCCATTTAGGCTCATCCGCTTTAATTGGCTTCGTTTGTAATTACGGCTGAGAGAGGAGGCTCTACTAAGGGATGGAGGACAATAAGAAAAGAGGCGGTGTAGGTGGTGGTGGTACTGGTGGTCGTCGGAATACGGTGACGTGGATTGCGGCCTGAAGAGATCGTGGAAGTGGGTTAGGGGTGCGCGGCCATTGTCGGAGGTCTTTCCAGCTTGGGAAAGAGCCGATAGAAGTTCGCCGAATGAAACAAAGGCCTGTGTTTCTTTCTTTTCACCAATTTTTCTCTCGCCCGGTTTTTTCTTTGTCGGTCTTTTACATATGCATCCAAGAATATTCGCATGCGTTTCGCAACAATATTATTAACACGCAAATTTCGTGGTTCCATTAAAATCTCACGAGAGATTGACATTAATTCGAAGGAAATTCGTGTGAAAGGTGCAGTTAAAAGCAGGTGACGGAACGACCTGTGCCTTGAAAACTTGAAACGATACTTTTCAGTGATGATCACAACTTGTGTGGCACACCTTAGTCAGCTTCCTGGCGGAGTGACGAACACGCAGGTTGAATTCAAGAACACGGGATGCGTGGGAAAACGCGTGCATGCGTGACGGTGTAGATTTGCATGAAAGAAAGAAGGGTATTGTCGTTGATCCACACACACACACACACACACACAAAAGGTGGTTACAAGTCGTAATTCTTGTGTCACAGAATTTGTGGTTCGATCAATTTTCCATTTTTTTTTCTCTCTCATCGCCCTATAATTACAGGAGAAAAGAATAACATGTCTCTTTCTAGCCATTTCTGAAGAGTGAATCTGATTCACTTATACTTCATTGTAAAATACCTACAGGTAATTATTGTGTAAGATCGTTTCTACATAAATGCAAATTCAATGTTTTGAAAAACTGTAATAATTATTGACTTGGAAAGGAAAGGAAAAACGTATGAGGTAATGAATAGAAATGTTTGAGACGTTGCTTAAAACAACCATAACTAAATCGTATCCACAGACATATTGATCTTAAAATAATAAGAGATTCAAATCGGAATTGTCACTGCTTTTACTTTTCCATTTCAAGTACTGATGGAAAGATAATATCTCCAACTTAATGAACACAATAATTCACTTGACACACTCAATTGAAGAATAACTATAATGTAAAGCGAAACAAGAGACTGATAAATAATATCTCATTGAACAAATTATTTCATACAAGTTATCCAACAAACTAAAGCATTCAAGTGTTATAACGTACGAATTGTATCACGAAGTAGAAAACATTCTGAACGTTACTCAATACATCGCACACACATAAACGTAATCGAAGCGCGAACAGTAATCATGATGAACAAATCTTTGTATGGTACGATTAATAGGAATGCGGGAGAAAGTAGAACGTGATTGTAGACTATTAAAATCACTTTCAATTTAACTCCAACACGAGAGTTTAATCAATTTTAAACGTCGGACTTCTTGCCTGCCTTCAGATTATCAATTTAAAAGTATTAATACTTCAATTATTTCCGTTCAGACCAAACGTTTTTGTATAAATTCTTTAATTATCGCTTTATTTTTCTTCCATTGTGAAACCCGACCGCTCTATTTATGTTTCATTATGATCGATGCTGGAAAAATTGCAGCTCTCTGGTTCCGGAGTACAAAACTTCGTGGATCGATATCATTTTATTTGGTCACGTGCCAAGATGTGCGCGAGAGAGCTAGCTATTTAAATTAGCGGCGGCTGAAACGATAAATACTTTCATCTTAAATATTTAATTTTGATACACGTATAACGAACTTAGAATTAGTATTTGCGGTCTTTTATGAATATGATTAAGATATAGAGTTTCGAATTGAAACGAGAACTTTGATATAGAATGAACTGATCATCGCATTTAATTGCTCACTGATTGTTTTCGAGGAAATTACTGAACATGATCGTAGTATTATCCATTAGAGAATAATCGCGCGATGCGAAGATTAATTGCGCTCCGTGGGGACGGAAAATTTATGGATGTTTGGTCAAAATTTGAATCGATGCGAAAGGCACGGAGATGTAATTACACCTTGGCTACGTAAAACGGGAAGGGAAGTGATTAATGCACTCGGCAGTAATTAATTGACCGACTAACGATCTCGATGAACTGCGACTTTCGCTACGTAAAACTGGTGTAAACAATTGTAAGATATGCAATTTCAACTCGGCACCTTCAACGAAAATACATCACCGAGTACGTTTAATCACTCTAACAACCTCAAGCTTGTACCAATAAGATTTAATTATCTAAATATTGTTAAACAAATGGAAACGTAATATTTATATCTGGAAATCTACGATCTTAATTAAGTATATTTGTATTCCTAAAAATCTTATCATTAAACCAAGCTTTTAAATAGCCAATCAGCTGAAATGAACCTTATTTTAAAAAATTCGTTGCTTTTAAACCGGGTCGAACTAAATCGGGTTGGTACAACCGAGTAGGTTAAAAATATATCCTAGTACAAAATAAAAACTCGAGAAAAGGGTTGAAATTAATTCGAGGCGTCGGAACGGAAAAGAGAACTGTATTAAGGGACGGAAGTGCATCATACCTCTGCAATGGCTTCGCCCGTGGAGAATCGACAGCTGCGAGAAAGAAACCCTCTTTCCTCCCCACTCCACGTCTCTTTCTCATAGACCACGTGAAACGGAGCACGTGGAAGAGAGATGCTACTTCCTTCATCTTCATCCTTTTTCCATCCCCCTCCTACATCGTTGCTCCTCTCTTCACTTCACATACCCCTCTTACGTACTTTCGGATTCTCCCCACTCACCCAGCCGTCCTCTTTTTTATCTCTCACTCCCTTAATCCATCGTCCCTCTTCGTCCAACCCGTTGTCTGCCCCTTCTTCGACGTTACGTTTCATTGTTCCCATCTCTATCTCTGTTTCGCTCGTTGCGCGGTGCACGAGTATCGTGCGGCATGGTCAACAGGTAGAAGAGACAGACAGGTGGCCGGACGATGTATTCATGATGTCGGCGACGATCCTGAAAAGTGGCTAGTGGCCGCGATCGTTCGCCGCGTACGCTGGATATTCCAACATTCAGAATTTGTTATCGTGAACTCTGATGACAGCGTAAATTCTAGTGACAGCAGTGGGCAGACGCGAGTATTTCCCAAGTTTTTGTGTTTCACCAGTGTGCATTTATAATTCAGGATAAACAAATTGTTTAGGACGTGTGTTTGCAATCACTTTTGATCCTGACGTTATAAAAGATGTCATAATTGAGTAACTAAGTGATAAAACAGTATTGTAGTTTTATTGTACAACTCCATTATGTTGCGTGCCATACTTGAGCGATTTGATTTACATCAGACTACATATAAAATTATTTTTGTAACGTCTTATCATAATTAGCTGTATTATAAGTTTCATAATACGCGTAACAAGTAGTTTCGAATTTCTTGGAATAACAAGTGAGAGAATTCAATGTTACGGAGAATTTCTGCCAAGTGTCTCTGAAGTGCAAGTGAAACACTTACGGATTGGGGTTGATGACAGACTGAATATCAACAGGGAGAGAAAGATTTTTTGTAATCTTTGTCGACTGTGAAAGTGGAACTAAGTGTGTTTCAAGTATCTTTTGTTATCAGAAGTGTAAAGAGGGAGTAGTAGCTAGCTACTTGCATCTACTACCTTAGTAGCTGGCTTTGTGTCAGCTGCAACGGAAGATGTAAGTGTCGATCGATATTTGTGTCAAGTATTTTGCATTCTGAATGAACGCGTGAAAGAAATCCCCTGCCTGGCCTTGCGCGGAACTCACCATTGTTCGCGAGACTTTGGATTTACACGTTCCTTGTTAATATTCCGTGACTTTATGCGTGAGTCACGCTCAAAGAATCGTTGAAGGACAAAAGTTCCTAAATTTTCGTATAAGCAAGTCAAAATATGGAAACTTCGTACTGAACGAGTATCGTACTAACTTCGCATGTTAAACAATTACAAATATTTTATTCAGCAACACAACCAAACAATTGACAAAGAATAGTTTGTACGAGTCTCACGTGTTCAGCCCATTAATAATACTTGATTTAGTTTAAATCGCTAAAAATCATTGAATTTATAGGCTATTAAAACGTTTCACGCCTCGGTTCCTCGTCAATGCGGTCGTAAAAGTATAACGTCGCGCGGCTTATTCCTACTTGCTTCCAGTCGAAGTCCTTTAGACGAGATCGATATAATTTTGTTCAAAATTCTAGCTATACGATTATTGGCAAACCTTACGGTAAATTCCGTAATAGTTACATTAGAAGCTGAAAATATTTGTTCGATAATATTTGAAACAATACAGTAGCGCTATGACTGTTCAAACACAGTCGGACGCTGGCTCAGAATTATCATTTTCGAGATCTCAGTGTTTGTCAAATCGGGTTTCATACTCTGTGTATCCGCGAATTTGATGATATTACAGAGTTTGAATAAAAAGACGTCGATTCTGTTAAAAAAATATGACACCTTTACTGGTCGTAATTTTTATTAGAAATATAACTAACAATATCTACAGATTATCAGGTTCTGTACTTGCTAATTAATTATCAAATCATCTCATTGATTAGAGAAATCATTTTCTGCGATTGATGTATCGCATTTTTTTCAAAATATGACAAGAATCGTCTTTTATAAAATTACGAGGACGCAACAAGCAGTCGTGCAAATAATCGACGTCCCATCTGGGTTTACCCATAAGTTGGCAACACACGTAAATTGTCGTTTCATACGCAGTAGTCGGAATTAATGGCTAGCGCAATAAGTCCTTAAACAGCCGGTATCTCGACGTGAAACAATGGTAATTCGTATCATTGTCTTGTAAGTATTCCAAGCGAAGAGGTAAGAAAGGAATAACCCTCGAGAAGAGAGTATCCTTTTGTTTTCACTCTTGTCGCTTTTTTTTTATCCGTACTGAGAAGCGTCTTGACGGGAGCAAACTGTTTGTCTCCTCCTCGCTCTTTTTTCTTTCTGGGAAACAGTTTTCCCGTCTCTCGATGTCTCGTTAAAGTCGTGAAATCTAAGTAGAAGTTGCTCTCTTGCGAACGACGCGGTGCGACGTCGACAAGTGGACTCGAAGATGGCGACGAAACTCTTCAGGTGTCGCTTAACCTTTCGGTTTTCCAATTAAACGGCGACCAATCGGAAGAAAGGATCCAACCTCCAGCTTCAGGTCTCGTTGTTCTTCTCAAAACCGATCGGACGATTCTTCTCTTATTCGCGTAGCCGTCGATTGCCGATTGTCCCTCGATAAGAATCGTCACCGCGAGGGATTCACTCTTTTATTGTCAATTAAATTGCTACCGTGTTCCGGCGATGCAAACAATTATATCGATTGAACTGAAGAAATTAGACGTGATCAATTTTTAATTAATACTTCAATTAGCGATTTAGAATTAATCTAAATTGATCACCAAGTTACTTTTAAACTGCTTCAAAATGTACGATCCTCCAATTAAGAATATAAATTTATTGATTTTCCAGGTAACAATCAAAACAGACCAGTATCTCCAAATGTTAACTACAATCATGCCGTTCCATTCAAGATTTACCCAAGCCCAAGTAAACGGCCTCAAGATTCGATCATTGGTCCATCTAACACTCTCCTAATCCCATTTGCTCAAGGATACGTTCCCTGTGCGATTTAACGAATGATCGAAAGCGATCAAGATGGTGATCGCGAGTGAATCCCCTCAGGACGTCGGAGCGTCCGGTAAACTGAGACGGTCCCGTCGACTGTCCTCGACCAGGGGATTGAAGGTACGAGCAATCGCAAACACAGCTGGTCAAGCGACGTCGCGACCGGATTTGAATCAGAAGCTCGGACTGTGTCCCATAGTTAGTCTGAACCTGGCCGATACGAAGTCCCGAGCGCCGATCAATTGGGAATTGAACGAGAGGATCAGCTTGAGCAGTGGATCGAGCGCGGGTTTAGAGGTGCGTCCGGACGCGAGAAAAGGAATCGAGCTGAGCGAGAATAGGAAGAAATCGGATACCGACGAAAGGACAGTTCGTCGAGAAAACATCAACGGTGGAAGAACAAACTTGCGGCTCATGAACGTGTCGGGTTTTGGCCCGGATCAAGATAAGAAACGCAAGGATTCGTGGACGATCGAAATCGACGTGATCGAAAAACCAGAGAGAGAAAAGGAAGAGGAGGACAATGTGATCAAGAGCGATTCTAAGTATGAGATAGGAATCCCTAGCGAAGGAACCGCTGGGTCTAGGAAGACGACGAAACAGAAACGACAGCTGTCTGCCGGTACTAAGACTCAAAAGCCTGCGAAGAATGAAGAGGACGAGAACATGAACGGGAAATGGGGCAGAAAGAAGACGGAGAAAACGAACGACTCGATCACGAAGAGGCTGGAATTGATCCATGAACTGAACCAGAAGATCCTGGCGAACTATGAGCGGTTCCAACAACGATCCAAGTCCAAAACCTATTTGAAGGAGGGCAAGGAAACGTTGTCGAAATGTAGCTCGAAGGAACAAAATGGGAAAAGCCGATCAGCATTGAACGAAGGGAAAGAAACTCGGAAGGAGGAGCACGTGTACGCTGAAGCGAAGCGGAAGAGCAAGATGAAAATGGAATGCGTAAGCCAGAAACCGGATCAGGACTCCTTGAGACAAAGGAAACTGGACATAAATAAGTTCACGTTCTCGAAGGAGTATTGCGAAAAGCTGACCGGCACGAAGGATCACAGATTGGAATCGTTGAACGAAAGGCGATCGGCGAGAACGTTGTCGAAATCACGAATACTACGAGATAACGAGAACTTCATCATGGCTCCGAGGCCGGGATTCGACGAGCCTGACGAGCATAAAGAGAAGCGGTTCTCTATGAGGATCGAATGCGGTTTCGAGTCTAAGCGAGAAGCACCCACGTCCGAGAGAAGGAGCGTTTTTTATTTGAACGAAGAAAACGGGGAGATAGGTAAAGAGTCAAGGGAGCACGTAGACACACCAATGGACGACGACACCGATTGTCTGGGGAGCTCCAGATTGTACCCGGAGAGCTACAGCAATCGCTCTAACGAAGCGAGAATAGGAGACGATCGTGGCCGAGATCGCTTGAGGACGGAAGAAAATCGAGACGAAACAGAGACGAGCTGCAAGATCGATCGGACTAATGATAAGTTCCTGGAGGAGAAAAATAACCGGGCTGGCGTCGACGAGACGACACTGGAGCACGAGATTCTCTCGAGCCTCGACGAAGCTATCGACAGCTTCGATCGAATCGAGGAAAAGGAACCGAGGAAATTCGACGAGAAGGAGAATGGGACGGTAGAAGAGCTCGATGATTCTATACAAATAAGTAGCCCTTTATCGAGGACGAATAGCCCGAAGACGGGCAGGCTTCAGGAGACGTTTAATTCCTCATGGGACTCTGAGGTCGGCGCGGACGCCACTGGCGGAAGTGGCTGGGTCAGGATACACACCGGGATCGAGAGCAGTCTCGTATATCTCACTCTGGACACCACGGCCAAGGATGTCTGCCGAGACATGCTGCTGGGCGACGACTTGTCTCTGTTTATACAGGTAAGCGGTACCCGAACTTCCGCGGCTAATTATTCATTCGATTTACGACGCAGAAGTTTACGCGGCCGCTCGAGTTAATGAGAGCAGGCGGACATGCTAATGAGCTACGCTGTACGTTACGCCTTGCGTGTACGTGGGTTGTTTGCTTCGAAGTGTCTACAATCTCTTCCCTGTCTTTCCTTGTTCGTATTAAAGCTTCTATATTTACGAATTGATACATGTTGTGCAATATTGTATTGCACGACATAACTGTCCATTTTTTCAATGACAATTTTTAAATTAGCAATCAGTAACTTTCACTGAAACAAAGAAGTAGTGCTTATCACTGCCTTTCCTCCTGTTGAAGAAAGTCTCTCTTTTACGAAAGGGTACGATAACTCGTGATGAGAGGTCTCTTTTCTCGCGAGTACGATGAAAGGAAATCGCGTGGCTCCGCTTCAGACGAGGGAAGAGATTGGGGGAGGATCTTGCGGTACGCCAGGATTTCCGGTCCGCTCGTTGTCGCAGACGTCGTTAATGCTCGAGCACGCGATAAAGCCCCGCAGTGATATTCCGTTGAAATACCCCCCCTCCCCTTGCATTTTTTCTCCTCCCTGCTCTTTTCACCGTGGATCGTCTCTTTTTTTTTTTACCAGCTTTCATTTTTCTCCCGCAACCCCCGAACTGCACCGTTTCCTGTTCTTAAATCGTACTTTCTTATCACGTTTCGCTTCGCCATTCCGCTCGCTCCAAAGTTTAGTGTCTTTTATAATCATCTCGTTCGAGACCTGATTACCGATGCGACGAAGAACAATATTTACGTTTATTATTAAACGTAGTTATAATAATATTAATTATACATGTGCATCTTTCGATGTATAAAACCATAAATGAAAGTCAATCAAAGTTGAGTATCTTGTTAAAATAATAATTATAGAAGAAATATATTGTTAAGCTATTGTATTCTTGTCAGGTTTTATATCAGTTTTTTTTATTGGTTCCTATTTATGGAATGCAGCCGAGTTATTGGAAGAATTTCTCTCTTGTTGCTGAATAGGAATCGAAGTTAATTTCGATAAGGTAACAATCGGCTTCGTACGGAATATGGATTTTCTATTTGGAGAGAGTAACGGTGAACAAGGTACGGGGCGACATTTGTAAACCAACGTCGATCCGGGCTTGCTTTTATTAGTCTCCTCTTTATACATTTGCGGAGCATAATATTGTATATTGGAAACGTGATCGTTCCGAATCTCCAATACCCAATAACAACGGCAGTTTGTGGTTCCAATAAACCAAATATGTATCCTGCTAAGTTAGAAAGCCTTATGACACAAGAAAGATAAGAACTGTACTCCAGTTAATTGGCTCGTCGTATCTTGTATTGGGAATCTAATTTGAAAAATTTCATACATTTTACATCCCGTTTAGATGACTACATTATTTTGATTAGAGTCAACAAAAACAACAAAATTTCTCAATAATTCATTTTTAATTAAAATAACCCAGAATATTAATCTTGTATCAATGACAGTTCAATGTCTATCCCTTTTTTTTTTTTTAATAAAAATCTGTTTTTCATTTGCTGATGCGCGTATCTCGTTACATTTTCAGTTAACGAATCCATGATGATAAAGAATAATTGAACTGTCAGAGTATGAAGTAATTTCGTTCCGCGTAGCGCGTGGTAATGACAATGCAACCGCCAACGCAGTGGATATAATCTTTCCTACAAAATTAATTCCATATCATAAAATAATTGGACATGACGTAAAAAATACGATGAATTTAAAACAAAAGGAAAATTATAACACAATGTACGGTAGCAAGCCCTTTTGAAAATCCTTTTATTCCGAATTAATACCTAATTAACTGTTATTATTTTCGGGTTGATTCATTTGTCAAATTAATGTTTGCATTCAATTTACGGGTTCGGATTTTCGAATGCGTTCCTCATCGATTTTCCGAAATTTTCGTTTCCATCTCCAACTCGACACGACCCTTTAGCTATATGTATATATGTATAATGAGAAAGACGCGGGCTGGCTCCTCAAAGATAACGAGGTACGCGCCGGTAATCAAAGGAGGTCGAGACCTTAAATAGCGCGGGCGTGCCTCGTGAAAGAACCAGCCCGACTGGATACAGTTCCTAGCCGGCTACTTGAAGCCCAGCCGAGCCTTTCTACTTACGCTATATGTACAGACGGCCGCAATAACGACGCTGATGAACTTGGTGTTTTCGTTTCGTCTCTTCCTTAATCCTTTTTTTTTGTTGCTTCCTCGGCTAGGAATCTTAGCCAAGAACTTCTCTGATAAGATTACAATTCTATGAGAGCAACATGATTAATAGTACTCGGAGGATTAAACAATAAGTATTACGAAACAGACACGATCTTGAGCAAAAGCACATTTGAATCGCTATAACTTTATTATTTAATTGATCATTTTACACTTCGTCATATAATCATAGAAAATGGTAATTACATATCGTAAGTAGTTACGAACACAATTTGTTCAACGAAAGTTAAAAAGGTTACAATATTTTATTCGTCTTTTCTTTCAAGAAAGACCATATTAATAAGGATTTTTGCTTATTTGCATTTCGATTGCTTAGAAATTAGAAATTTCATGTTTGGACTTGCTCATGAATGTGAGAAAATTTGAGTAACTCACAACCCCAGTTGCAAACCTGTTCCGCCCTTATGTAATTAAGCACCTGTTCACAGTGTAAACCGGTCGGTCAGTCACGTGTTACGAACTGACTGACTTTCTTGCCACGGTTCTCTCAGATCGGAGACACCTGTTTCAACGGAATTCTCGAACGCGTCAGCTGCATACGTTATATGTATATTCATACTCACCGTTTGGGGCTAATAAATGGAGGGTCCTGACATTATTATGATGCTAATTGTTCTACAAATACAAATGAATTTCATATACTTTAAGAAAATCAAAATAGATAAATACATTTTAAAACAAGTCAATTAAGAAGTTATCGTTTGAGGCAAACATGATAACTATTTAACATTAATCAAATAAAAAGAATATGGAATTGGAAATTTGTTTTTGTTAATAGTTTCAGACATGAAGTTCGTGGATCAATTTTATAAATAATTTGTCTCAATTCCTGTTATATAGTTCAAGTAAAAATTTCAAATCTTTTAGCAAAAGAATAGTCACTGGGTAACTAATACTTAAAAGCGATAAATAATTTTAAACGTGAATAGGTATCATCAGATTTCTCGAGCCGTATCTATCATAGCATTTTTCATAAAAAAAATGAAAGTTCTCTCGCTTGAATCGTCGCTTTCGTCGCAACTATCGCCAGGGCGTGTAATCAATAGAAACACGCGATTAAGCTCGAATCACGATTCATCGCAACGGATTTGCCTTCGTTTCTTCGAAATCACGTTCTGTCCCCGGATTAAAAATCTCGGCAAAGTTCATTCAGCTCAATTGGAAAATTTGATAGCTTTTTTAAATCAATTTCTCTGTTTGAAATCCAAGAGAACCACCACTACCTTTTTGACAAGTCATTGATTTTTACGTTTATTCGCAGTTTGTGCTAATTAATATATTTCTTGCTACTAACTATACTTTACTTTATTTACTATGATATAATTGTAGTAAATAATAAGAGGACTTATTATAAAGTCTGCAATTCTGTTCTTCTTCTATTTTATTCCCCTATTAAAGTTTGATACTTTTCACGCCATTTAGCATGTCATAATATTCAAATTACTTTGTAATAGTAGAAACAAAACTCCACCTTTGGCAATGTAATAGAATTGCGCAAAGTATTTCTAAATGCCCCCAATTTCATAAATCTCAAGAGCTGTCCCGGCTAGAAAGGGTACAATAACTGTTCTCGTTAAAATGACGATCAAAGAGGGACGAGAGATGTAATTCTGTCAGTCGTGGCGTAAGTCATGTCCCGATTATGCGCATTGTTCCCGTAGACTTAACGGATGAGCTTCGCGTGTCAAGCCCGTTTTAGATCTGCCTCGGAGCGATTGCATCGCACAAAACGCTGGCTTCCGGTACTGTGAACATTCTAAATCAAAATCCGGCGCTAATTTCGCTACGCGCATCGTGCAGTTTCCCCCATAGAAATCGCCATTCGAGAATAATCGTTTTGAGAACATCTGATCTTTCACGGCCACGCGTTGTCTTCATGAGTGTTAAAATAAGTTGGCAGGTCATTTAACACTCAAATTTATTATCAGTTATTATCAATCTGGTGTACTTAAAGCTGATTATCAAAAGAGTCCTTATTTTGGGCTCGTCGAGATTCAAACGACATTCAGACCGCTATTTTCTTTCCATTTAAAATCACGTCAATAAATGTGGATGGTTTCTCGACTAACTGGAACTTCAAACGTTTGAACAGCGAACGACATTCAAACATTCCGATTTATGGGTCTCTTTCATTTCAATCGTATAGAATACGGCCACAGAAGACCATTTAATGATTATCAGAATTCAACGAACGGTCAATGACTTGGCGAGATTTTTCTTTCATAATATATAAATGCCGTTCTTCAATCTAAAATCAATATCATTCAGCCGCGTTCCGCTTTTCTGTACTACTTACCAACACTTTACATGTTAATCTTTGCTCG